TAATGGGAGTCAGGTTCTTTTCAGTCTTCATTGAGTTGACAGAATCAATTTTTTTTTTTTATGACCCAAGGGGCATGTGCACTTCTCAAAGAGACAGAGAGGGAGAAAGAGAAAGCACTCCCTAGTTTCTACTTAACCTTTTCTTCACTCTATCATGAATTGGAGTACATACACGCATACACACACACACACACACACACACACACACACACACACACACACATAAGCACAATGATTTTCCAAGCCACTCGGGCTGGAATTCAAACCACATGGTCAGCCACATAGAATTCTACTCCCTTAACCACTAGGTATGGGGCCAGCCTAATACTAGCCATGCTGTATGACTTACTCCATTACTCTGCTTATTGAGAGCATTCGATTCAGAGAAAAGCTCTACTTCCTTCAACCCTCCCCAAATCCACCTCTGTAAAGCACAAATTCCTTAAGCCTATTATTTTTTCTTTAATGCTTATTTATTTCTTCCATGATCAAGAGAGATCAAAAGAGGCAGTGAGAGAGACAAGAGACAGAGAGATAAACAGTATCCCAACAGAATCCAAAGGTTATAATCTCTCCTCAGCCTTCTGCCAGCTCTGTATCATGGATAAATGAGTTTGGAATATTTAGAAAGATCTCCAAACTTCAACTTGGAACTTTCACATGTGGGATTGATTCAATGACCATCACTTCTTATGTTGCACCACCCTTTGGTCCCCTTCAGTCTCTTCTAACTTCCTCTTCTTTCAGGCCATGATTCTCCTATACTTTTCATTCTCCCTCAATAAGCCAAGTAGGAAATTCAACTTTTTTCAAGAACAGGTAAGTTTCTGGTGGACTGTAACAGGGGAGAATTGACTGGGTATGAGATGTGCAATCCATGTCTCCACAATTCTCATTTCACAGAGTTCCAGCACCCATGTGGAGAGACTCTGTGGCTTTAAAATCATGCCAGGTAAATGTGCATATGTCCCCCAAATCCCAGGAGGAGAATGGAATGGCCTTTCCCCCTGGGTGTGTTTATTTTTTTTTTGCTAGTCCCCATGTATTTTGACATTATTTAGATAAGTCATTCTTCATTCAGGATCACACAGAAAAGTTTACTTTAAGGTCTCAGTCGTCAGTTTCCAAAGAGATCTGACTCCACCCTACTGAGGCCATAATTTATGGATCTTCTAGGAGTTACTGCTCTGGTCAGGGAGACTAGGAGCTATTAATAATTACCAGGTTCCAGTAAGGTCTGAAATTTTGACTTTTGGTTTAAGGCTATAACTCCTATGCTTTGAGAAGGGCTTCACACATAAGACAGTATTTGAGGAGTGAAGCCAATTAGTGACTATAAATTCTACAAAAAATTCACTTCTCATGTAACTCTAAAGTGGAAAACTAACTACTGGATGGTTGGTGGTTTCCACTTGGCTATAAACACACTTTGAAAGAAAGTCTATATTCAGGGGCATGGGCTTTGGGTGAGCCTACTAATAAAAATTAGGCCAGGGCATGAGTCCACTGCCATGTGCCACTGATGCCCAAATTCTGAACATAGCCAATCTCTAGGTGATAGGTACATGGTTAAATATTAGAGAAGGTAAAGGGGTTTCATTGGATTTGCCTGTAGAAATCTAGTACCATAGCTTCCCCTTCCTTCAGGGGCTCTGTGTTTGCCCGAGTCAGTTCTGCACATGGACTGTCCCTCCCCAACACAGTGGCTCAAAGAAGCTAAGGTGCAACACATCTGGAAATACTTTCATTTAACAACTCAAATGAGGTTTTAATGAGCTGTTCAATCATTTTATCCATAGGGAACCAGTGATGAATGAACCATGAGTAAACGTGTGTTGGTCACATCAAACATTTATTAAATTTCATATTTACCCTGACCAAAGTTGTGCCAGGTACTATTTGAAGTGTGTGGAGATGTGTTAATGGAAAAACATACTAAAGAAAACCACCCTTACCTTCTGGAGTATACATATTATCATGGACAAGGAGAAACACAGTTAAACAAGAAATACACCAAACTAAATGATAAGAATTGGCAAGTGCTATAAAAGAAAAAAATGAACCTATAACAGAAAGTTAATGGGGGATTCAAAATTGAAAGCAAAATGTAACTTTAAATCATGGCATCAACATGCTGGCCCGGTTGCTCCTTGAATCTAATGTTACTTCTTTGATACATAGTTCAGGGCCATGGCCTGTCTGTGCTTCTACAGAATCCACTCCTTACCATGGAAAACAAGAAAATTTAACTGCAGAGCCACTTCTAAGAATCATTTATTTCAGTAACAAGGTAGTGTTAGCTTCTGAATGGACAATGTAATCCTCCAGAGCGGGTTCTTGGTCTCAATAGAAGTATCTGGCATTTTAACTGAATTTACCATGGAGCAGTACCTAAATATTGCTTATGATTACTAACCTAAGTTTTCAGTTTAAACAGGATATATTGCTTATATAAATGCATAAACAGAACAATATATTTCTATAACTAATTTCATACTGGGTTCATAGAAATTGCTCTCCAAACATAGCATGACTGAATACTCTCAACTACATCAACATCAACAATATCATATTTTTTGGGAATGAATCCATCAGGAAGTTTCAGAGAATCCAATATGAAGAAGATAGTATTGTCAATCACTCCATTTCTTCCATGTAGGCTGGTGATGCAGACCTGCAATGATGAATGATAGAAATGACAGACCTGGAGCCTCATAACTCTGGCCTTGTCCTGTAATCACTGAATCTACATGTATGATTCTCTGCCTGGTTGGTATAATGCCAACACCAGGGGTGCTTAGTAAACATGCCTGTAAATGACCTCTGCCTCAGACCAATAAAATCAGAAGCCCCAGGGATGGGACCCAGAGATGGGACCGACATCTCCAATCAGAAAGTCTGCTCTGAATATTACCCACAATGATCAGTAACCTCTATTTCTCTTACTTTTCTACTCATTTTCAGGCCACCCTACTCAAAACATACCCAGTTTTATGGTAAGTTCAAGTTCCACGTCATATTGCATTCACTTTATCCCTGAACATTTCATGCACACAAATGTTTTTATTCCTGTTGTTCTCAGAACATCCTAATAGCACTGTTCTACCAAATAATCTACATTATGCAGAACTTAATGACATGCATTGTCTCCATTATTTTTTTTTGTTTCATTTTGGAAGTCCTGCCTCTCTTTTTGGTCTATTATTAGTTTGTCTGTGTGTGCGCCCTATTGCGAAGAGACAGAAACAGAGAAGGAAGGTGAGAAAGTACTCCCAATGGGTAATGGTCATGATACAATCACATTTCCGTCATTTTCCCCTCCTTTTAAGGATTTGAGCATGCATGCACTGCTCATGTATCTGGTGTGTTTCTCGCGTCGCTTGGTCTGGGATACGAAATGTGCACTCAACCATGAGGGAATCTAGCTGCCTCTACCACCACCATGCCATGGACTGGATCATTCTGCCTTTTACATGAAAAAATAGGCCCCTTTTGCAAACACTTTTTTTTTTTTTCATTTTAGAGCACACCCTATAGAACCCTAGGAACAAATATTACAATGAAAGGAAGGATTTTAAGATACAAACGGTAAGCACAATGTAAAATATCTTACCTCCTTCAGATGCTTACAGAAAAAGGGTTTTGCTGAGTGCACCTTGATGTTGCATGGGCCAGGAAGGTTGGAGTACTCAACTTCTAGCCAATCACCTTTGTAAGGCATAAAATCTGAAACAGTCATGAAGAAATGCTAATGCAATTATATTTTACCATAGGTCCTTAAATTGTAGAAAGAACTTGGATGTTCTAATACCCTAAAGGCTTACATTAGACTTATCATACACTTTGTGCGTGCTTACATATACACACTCCTTATAAATACTCTGTCAGAAGGGAAGTTTATAATCCTTGAGGCACTGATTCTCGTTTACTGACTATCAAAAGGGATGGGGGACCAGCAGTTAGCATAATGGCTATGTTGCTGAATCCCATGTAGTCAACTGCAGTTCAAGTCCCGGACCTAGTGGCTTAAACTCACGCTCGGCGTATGTGCGTGTGTGCCCAAGATCCTGAGAAGAGAATGAAGGAGAAGGGACTGCGGCATGACCATCCCCTGGGGGGATGGTTTCTTGCTTTCTGTCTCTCTATCTCTCTCTGTCTTTCTGGCAAGCGCACACACACTGTAGTAAAAAAACCTCTCCAAAAAAAAAAAAAAAAAGAAAAAAGAAAAAGAAAAATAATTATAAAAATAGGTAAAATTTAATTAGAATATTTCTATTTATTCTAGTTTAGGAGATCTTGCCCATGTCAATGGACTGTCTGGCATTGGTCAATGCATCACGTACTTAAACAGTCATATTTTCCACTGATTTTGTCAAACATATTTGGCAGCCCAAACGTGATCTATCTGTTAGACAAAATGCCAGATCAAGCATGTCATTATCATAATCAGTAATTGGTTCTAACTTCTGGAATATGTGCTTTTCAAAGATGAGGTGACAAGTGGAGCAAGTCACGGTTCCTTCAAATGCACCAAAACCATCAGTATCTAGATTATTTTCAACCACAACATCTAGCAGAAAGTCTCCAACTTTTCCTTTGGTTGTTAATGTTTCACCAACACAGTTTATAAAGTAAATGGTTGTTTTATTTTCTGAGCTGCTCCGCGCCCGAACTGACACACTCAGCAGCCAGCTGGTCTCCCAGCCACTGCCTGAGCTCCCTGGCTGGCCACCAGCTCCCATGTTGAATCTGGCTAGCAGCAGCCACTGACTGGATGGGGCGGATAGGTTGCAGAGGCGGCTCACAGGAGCTGGGCATCCCCCACTCTGGCCATAGCCCCTATTTTCTTCACCTATAGCATGAGAACAACCATAATAGTCCTCTTAATGTACTGTTGCTGTGATAATTAATTCTTATGTTAAAAACTCATGAACTAATGCCTGGCACATAATAACCACAAAATATATGATGACTACTAACTATGGTGACAGTAGCACTAGAAAATACAAGGGATTGGGACCAGCAGTTGGTGTAATGGCTATGTCACTGGACTCCCATGTAGTCAACTGCGGTTCGAGTCCTGGAGCTGGTGGCTTAAACTCATGCTGGGCACGTGTGTGTGCGTGCCCAAGATCCTGAGAAGAGAATGGAGGAGAAGGGATTGTGGCATGGCCACCCACTCCCTGGGGGTAATTTCTCACTTTCTGTCTCTCTTTCTTGCAAGTGCACGTGCCCTATAGCAAGCAAAAACCACAAACAAAAAAAAAAAAAAAAGGAAAAAAGGAAAGAAAAGAAAAGAAAGAAAGAAAGGAAATAAAAAAAGGAGGGATATTTTAAGTTTCAGGAGAAATGGAATTAAAATAGGAGTGTATTTTGGTGTAAAACTTTGCAATCCATGATTATTGTTTTAGTAAGATGCATTGTAATGAATACTTACTTAGAAGAACCCTAGTACTGTTACTGTAAAAATGAATCAGTTTTCACTGATTGTCTAGCAGAGGGATGAACACTTAAATAGGCATCTTATATTTCCTGTTATAAATATGTAGTTCTAAACAAAATTTTAGTGATAAATAAAAAGTAAGTCATAGGATAGTACCATCATAGTACCTGCAAAAATGTGGAGCCACTGAAAGTATCAACCATGGCAGGTGGAGCGTAAAATGGTACAACTGGTCCTTAAAAGTGGTAATACGTATAAGGCAAAACATTTTTTTAAATTTCTGGTTTTAGGGCTTGTGCACTTCCTGTAGAGGTAAGGAGAGCGAGAGTGAGAGAGAGAAGAAAGAGAGAGAGAGAATGCGAGGTATGATTGTCAAAGGGGATGGCCATTCTAAAATCCCCCCTCCACTTTCCTCTCAGAATTTTTAGGCATGCACCCTCATGTACCTGGCATGGGCCTTCAAGATGACAGATTCAGGACTTATGTAAGCCATGTGGGATCCAGCTACCTTAAACGTCATGCCATTGGCTGGCCCCAAAGCTAAACTTTTCTTTACCCTAGGCTCACTTACTGCCAAATGACACAAGACACTAAATTGGGTCTTGTCCCTCTTTCTTAACCCTTATACATTTCTTTGGTGTGGCTATACAAGGTATCTCTGGCTAATAATCCAAAATGCACTAACTCCAGCTGTAAACAACCTCAGATTCAACAGTCCTCATGCCTGTGGAATTATATCATATGTATTTATTATTATTTTGTGAATTGCTGCTATGCCTCACATTCACAAAATTTTCCTAATCTCAGTCTGCCTCATGTCTAATTGGAAAATCCCCTTTACCATGGTTCAAGCAAAACACTACAGTTATCTTTGGCTCCTTTACCTATATGCTAAAGGTCCATGCTATCGAAAATGCTTTTACGTCTAACTTCACAAGATATCCATAGTCAAATCAATCCTTAGAATGTCAGCTTCTACAACATCATCCAAGTCTTCATCAGTCTGGTCAGGAGTATTACAACTTCTCTTAACCAATTTCCTCACTCCACACTTGCCTCACACAATCTCTTCTCAACTAGCAGAGTCAACATGTTAAAATAAAATCCAGGTCAAGTCATAGTTGTACACACAAGAAAAGAAAAACAGCAAGCTGCCTGGAGGGGCTGAGCTCATTTCTTCTTTTGTTTTGTTTTGTTTTGTTTTGTTTGCTTGTTTATTTAATTTGCTACAGGACATGTGCACTTGCCTATGAGACAGAGAGAAGGAGAAAGAGAAATTAAGGAAAAGTGAGCAATTAACTCCCCCACAAGTGTGATGGTCATGCCACAATCCCTTCTCCTTCACTCTCCCCCCAGGATTTGTACATGCACGTGCATGTACATTTCTGCATGTGTATTTGTATATTTGTACGTTTGTGCATGACATGCCAGGCATATCTATAGAGCTACCAGATGCGGGACTCTAACCATGCAGTGAACCAGAGGGCATTCTGTCACCTTAACCAACACCAACAATGGCACCAGCTGGCCTAATTTCTCCTTTTTTTTGAGAGAGATTTTTGCTATAGGGTGTGTGTGCTCACCAGACAGAGAGAGAGAGACAGAAAGTGAGAAATCACCCCCAAGGGGGATGGCCATGCAGCAATCCCTTCTCCTCCATTCTCCTCTCAGGATCTTGGGCACGCATGCACACGCGCCCGGCGTGAGTTTTAAGCCACCGGGTCCGGGATGTGAACTGCAGTCAACTACATGGGAGTCCAGCGACATAGCCATTATGCTAACTGCTGGTCCCTAATTTCTTATTTTCTATCAAACCTTCCAACAGCAGCTTTAGGCTCAAATAGCAGGAACAAAGTACAGCTACGGGTAAAATAAAAATATCCAACCAAATCAGTTGTTCAAAATGGGCAGAGAAACACACATGTGTGCACACACAGAAAAAAACACACATACACACACTCAGATACACACAAATACACATGAAAAACTACAGGGCTATCACCAAAACTTATTCTGAAGCATTTGATGTATGCTCTAAATATTACCATGTGCATGTTCAAGGTTTTGCATTGATGAGATCTTCAATATTTGTATGAATAAAAACTTTACTCAGATATCAAAGACTACACTCACACATAATATGTGATAGCAGGAGTTTTTATAAGTTTTCCTCTTTGTCCTTATATTATAGTCTATTTACAATTCCAAGGGCCCACTTTACATAATGAAGAACTACTGACTAGAGCAAAGCATATTGCAGAAATACTTCTAGTATGAAAATATCTCAAAAATACTCCTTGCATTTTCTGAAAAATGTAAACCATACCTTCAGAAACAATATCGAGGGAGAAATAAATTTCTTCATCAATGTAGACAGTGTTTGCACTTACAGCAGTAACACAAGCCTTTATAACTCTGGTTTCAAGGTATGATAGTTCCAAGTCATCAATATTATCAGGAAGAACCTGTACCTGTCAGATAAGAAAACACTTACTTCCAAGGTAAAACTTTATGATGGACATTTCTATGCTTAAACCACTGGTGTGCAAGAATTATTATAAATGACCACTCTGAACAACAATGAATATATTTCAACTCAAAAATAGATCATAGTCCTGAGATGATAGTAAAAATAATTCCAGTATTTTATGTGTTCTTAAGGTGCACCAGAAAACCTGACCATGTTTAATAAATTCATAGCACATTCTACAATAAAAATTGTGTCACGTTTCCACTCTAGGATTTCATAATTTTATGATGGCAAATGGAAACAATATCTCCTTTTAACTTGTGATAGAGAGTATGAAACAAATTCAAAAAGGGTTTCTCTGAATTCTCAAGAATAAGTAGATTTAGGCTAAGGTGAAAATAGAGGCATTACTTGGCAGAACTAAGATTTGAGCTGAGATATGAAAGGAGAGAAAGAGTTTACCTGCCAAATGGGAGTCACATAAAGGCAGGAGAAGGGAGACAGAGAAGAAAACCAACCACAAGCTTGGGGAATAGCAAACAAAGCCTTAACACTGAAGATCCAGTCCCAGAGGAAGAAGCAAGGGGAAAGCTGAAACAATAACCTCGAATGAAGAGGGCTTAAAAAGTCTAAGTCAGGGACCAGCAGTTAGTGTAATGGCTATGTCGCTGGACTCCCATGTAGTCGATGGCGGTTTGAGTCCTGGACCCAGCGGCTTAAACTCACGCCGGGCGCGTGTGCGTGCATGCCCAAGATCCTGACAGGGGAATGGAGGAGAAGGGATTGCGGCATGGCCATCCCCCGGGGGGTGATTTCTCGCTTTATATGTCTCTGTCTCTCTCTGTCTGTCTGGCGAGCGCACGCGCTCTATAGCAAAAACCTCTTCAAAAAAAAAAAAAGAAAAGAAAAGAAAAAAAAGAAGTCTAAGTCAAATATAGGGCTGTGAAGATAAGAATTATGTGGAAAATATGCCACTGTATTAAATGAAGACCAAAGACATTATGAAAGAAGAAAAATAGGTTTCAAGAAGTCTGCTATCAAATCT